TGGACTTACACAGCTATAGCTCGATGGCTTCGGGTTAAACTCATAGAGAGTACTTCCCGGGAAGCTGAGAACGTTTCTGAGTGTTCTACGGTCTGCTGGGGTAATAATATAGTGTAAAGCGCATAGAGCTTGCTGTCGAGAGGGGTTATGCGCTATACAAATGCTATTTATTATTTATTATTATTACTTACAGTGTTGAAATCATCCTCAGCATCCTGAATATCCTGGGTGGCCATCTCTATGGCTTTAGCAGCGCTGGCCTGAACTCTCTTGGCCTCGTCCAGGGCATCCCTCACATCCTGGGCTGTGTTGCGAATGTCCTGAGCATCCGCTCTAGAGCAAGAGACATACAAAATTAGCACCAAGAAAAATATCAAAGTATTATGTTGAATGTACATGTCCATCCATTTTTTTCCCTCTCACTAGTCAATGCCCATCCACATTAAACATACAGCAAAAGGTAGAATATAACAGAGCAATTTTTAAAGAAATCCCAGGTGGCCATTTTGCACTCTACAATACCAATATGGAGATTAGACAAGACTAATAATGTTTTGTACGTATCTCTCTAGTAACACCTCTCATCTTCGGCACTTATATGACTCACAATTCATGATGTCAGTGCCATAAAACTCTTACAAAAACTAAAAAGACTAAAGACAATTTAAAAATCAGGATCTCAGGGGGAAAAAATCAGGATCTGGTGAAAAAAATCGGGATCAATGACAAATCTCAGGGTGACTGCCAAGGTGACTTAAAAATTTTCCAGGGGTGGCCATAAATATAATAATATACATGTACACTATACATTATGCCCTCTATATACATGTACACTATACATTATGCCCTCTATATACATGTACGCTATATTTTATGCCCTCTATATACATGTACACTATATATTATGCCCTCTATATACATGTACACTATATATTATGCCTTCTATATACATGTACGTTATATATTATGCTCTCTATATACATGTACGCTATATTTTATGTCCTCTATATACATGTACCCTATTTTTTATGCCCTCTATATACATGTACGCTATATTTTATGTCCTCTATATACATGTACGCTATATTTTATGCCCTCTATATACATGTACGCTATATTTTATGTCCTCTTTATACATGTACGCTATATATTATGCTCTCTATATACATGTACGCTATATATTATGCTCTCTATATACATGTACACTATACATTATGCCCTCTTTATACATGTACGCTATATTTTATGCCCTCTTTATACATGTACGCTATATATTATGCCCTCTATATACATGTACGCTATATATTATGCCCTCTATGACAATAGCAACATTCAGAACTCACGAAGCACTCTCAGCTTGTCTCTTCAGCTCTTCTGCAATGTCCCTGCTGCCCTTTGTGTCCGCCAGAATCTTGTCAATGTCTGTCAGAGACTCAACGGCTCTGTTGATTTTCTCTGCAAGCTCTCGGATCTTGTCGGGATTCATGGGGATCTGCATGTTCAAGACCTCTTCTGCAATCTGCAACACACATTGGAGAGAATGTTATTGTACGTCATGAAGCTCTTTCTGTTGTTCTAATTGATTACTATTGCAAGAATACAAGACAATGGGGTTTGTTCAAGTTGAATTCAGATCTGCAGTAGTTTACTGGGAGGAGAGGAAAAACCATTTTGTGTCAAACACGATCAGGCACATCTTGATCGAATGTCCAGAATTTGGAGAGACCCGAAGGAAATATTTTTAATTTACATAATTTGTCCTCCATCATTGAACCCAACAAAATTCTCGATTTTATAAAAGCCATTTGTCTTTTCTCCTGGTTGCAAATAGTGTTATTTAAAAAAAGTAAATATCTGCTTTTAAAAACTAGATTTTCGTTGTGTATTTTTAGATACTTCAACCAAGTCAACTTGCAAAATAAAAACCAAACCTTGCTATGAACTAACATGAAAACAACCAACTTGTATCCGCTGCGCTCATATGACCGTATGCAGTTGCAGTAGCCGTAAAACTTTTACCACACTGAAGCTGATTCACACACCTTCTCAATATCTTCTGGTGTGGCAGTTTCGTTGCCAATCAAGAAGTCCCTGATGTTGGTGAGGAGAGCCTTCAGGTCAGCCTTGGTGCTCTCCGTCATGTTCTTGGCCTTGGAAGCTTCATCAAATGCAGACTGGGCATCAGCCTTGGCTCCCATAGCGTCACGTTTGGCTTCTTGGATCTGGGGGTTGGGAAGGAAAAAAAGAGTTTACATAGGGGAAAAGTGTGCAGGGGAGTGCCAATAGATTAGTTGGAATGATGGACCATGGTGTGGATCACCCAGAATCGAATTCCTATCAGGGTTATCTTGAACTTGAGTTGTTTGAGGATTTTTTAAGGCTCTCCACAAACCAAGCTCTTTCCTTTCATTTTCAGAGACAGACCTATTCTAATTCTAAGGTCCCATCAGTATCTAGTGTTTATTTTAAATCTTACTACACCATAGAAAACTCCACCAGCCCACCCAGTAGTTTTTGCACTTGTTTGCCGAGGAAAAAAGAGTAGATCTGAGCTGAAGTTAGCTTGATAAATGCTGCTTTGTTTTTTTTATTTGATTCAGTAAAGAGAGGCACATCAACACAAAAACTGTCATTTACTGAAGGGGAAAGTAAGACCAAATGGACAGAAATAACAGAGGGCAAGAAAACAAGAAAGATTTACCACTACCACTGGCACCCTCCAAACACCCACAATAAATTCTGTAATTAACCACGAACAAATAATCAGGAAACATATACCAAGACAGAAACAAAATAACCAGATCACATTACAAAGCCTACACACAACTCGCATAGAAAACATCGTCTTGGGCTTGAATAAACAGCTGGATAGCAGAAAGAAATGGTAGCAGTGAAAAAGCAGCATGACTTTTTTAAAAATCCAGAACTTCTCAGACCCCATGGAAACTCAAAATTTACGGGTCATATTGTCTATTGAATCATGTCCTACGACTATTTTATATAAAGTGCAAAAAGACAAGCAAAAAGAGATTAAAATATAAATAATTGCGTGAGAAAGAGTATTATACAAACCCGAACATTTTCAGATATATGGATTTATCAGTAAAATCGGCATTACTGGCCAGTGAAACAAAATCTGCAAAACCTGTCAAAAGAAAACTGAAGCAGAAGTAAGCCCTTGCATTGACTCCAGTACTCACCCTGGGGATCAGAACGTCAGTGGCATTGGCCGTCTTGGCCTTAAGCAGGTCCTCAGCCCGCTGTGCCAGGGAGAAGGCGGTCTGTGCGATGGTGACCGCTCCGTTACATCCAGTGCCCCCGCACATACCGCAGCCGCCGCCCCCACACAGACTAGAGCAGGGGTCACCCTGGCCACCACACACCTGAAAACACACACACACAGGAAAAGGTCAAGGGCCAGCATAATAATATCGTAATAATAATAATGATAAGAATAATAATAATAATGATGATAACAAAAATAATAAAAATGATGATAACAAAAATAATAACAACAATAATAGTGAAAATGTAGATTTTTTATAGCGTCTACTCTCATGTGCACACAGCTATGGGAGCTTTTCAGAAATCCAAGCACGAATTCATAATTTATGAGCAATATTGTACAAACTGTGAAAAATTAATCTTTGCTCACATGCACATACAAAAGAAATACATATAATAATAATAATAAATAATAATAAATAGCATTTGTATAGCGCATGTCTCCACTCAAAAGCAAGCTCTATGCGCTTTACACTATATTATTACTCAAGCACACCATAGAACACTCAGAAACATTCTCAGCTTCCCGGGAAGCATACAGTGCAAGCAGCTGGTTAAGTGCTCAAACAGTAACAAACTGACAAGATCTTTCACTGTCTATAGCTGGGTACCCATTTTCACCTGGGTGAAGTGGGGAAAATTCGTGTAAAGTGCCTTTCCCAAGGACACAACGTCTGGCCCGCGGCTTGATCCCCCCGAACCCGCAACCTCACAATTACGAGTCCCGTAGCCTAACCACTAGGCCACCGACGCCACCATATATAACACACACACACACACACACACACACACGCACACACTTATTCACATGCACACGCACACACATCCACACACACACACATCCAACTAAACAAGGCTGCTGTGTGCCAGCTGAACTGGGGCGCCTTATACTAAAAGACTAACAGTTAAATAATAAGTTTCTATCAGCTATCTTACCATGTTGTTGATCTCGGACAAGTCCCCTCCCAGATTCCTGACGTCGTTCTCAAGGCGGTCCAGAGCGTCTCTGTTCTCATCCAGCTGCTCGTTAAACCGGTTCTCTCTGGGGACATCACAGGGGGGAAGCAAAGATGTACTCCAAGACGTAAGTAGTGTTGTTTCTTCTAAAATGTAAATTGCTGCATTTAAAACTGAATTTTTACAAATTACTTTAGGATGCTGCACTTCAACAATGTACTCCAAGATGTAAGTAGTGTTGTTTCTTCGAAAATGTAAATTGCTGCTTTTAAAACTGAAATTTTACAATTTATCTTTAGGATGCTGTACTTCAAGCATTTCAACAAGCAAAGTAAAACCAAGCCCGAGCTATGAACTAACATGAACACAAACATACTCATAATATGATCTTATGCAGTTGCGAGCACCCTACAGCTTTCACCAAACTGAAGTTTGATAGGAAAGAAGAAGCAAACCACACCAGAGCACCCGCAAACCACCCACAGTCTTCTGTGTGTGACAGCAAAGGGCCACACTGCCGCACATACACACTTGTACAAAGAATGAGCTAGAACTACCCTGATAGAATAACAAATAAACAAAAAGAAGAACTGAGAGAGAGAACAAGACAACAAAGCCTCTGCTGTCACCACTGCTGATACAGCATCAGATAGAAAGCACGGTAACCTCTCTCTCCCTCTGTGTCTCT